CAGAAGGGAAGATCTCCAACCAAACAGGTAAGAGTTGATATGAAAGGTTTGGGTTGCATTCTCACATGTGGACGCTTATTTTTACACAACCATTCTCCCAAACCTAGACAGGTTGCCCCAATTTAATGAATCCTATTGGTCCTGGATGTAGAGGTGCTTGGGACCAAAACTTTCCAATTCTTTTCTCTGTAAGGCTAAAAATAAGAAAAAAAATGATGTAACATTATCAATAAGGAATGATCAAATAGCTTTTTACCCCTGGCATTATTGAATATGTATAACTTCTGGCAGAGATCATCAGTTTGGGGTGAGATATCACCAAAAATATTGGATATTTATATGTGATTTTGAATCAAATGTTTGGGTCCAAATTATATTGAAATATAGGGACTTCTCTGATCATATTGCCAATGTTGCAATAGAACCTGCTTCAGCAAATCATGTTATTTTATTTGAAAATGATTTGTGTCTTGTGATTCATATTGCTAATGCTCTGCCTGGTACACTCTGGAGCATCTCTTCCCTCACTGTGCATTTTGGTTTTTTCAGACATGAATGATTGTTTTCACTGTCCAGAAGATCATTATCCCAACAATAATCAAGACACATGCCTTCTAAAGTATACAAGTTATCTGTCTTATGAAGAGATGTTGGGAATGAGCTTGGCCACCGTGGCTTTTGGCCTTTCCCTCACCACAATTTCTGTGCTAGGAGTTTTCAGGAAGTACCACGACACTCCCATCATCAAGGCCAACAACCGCAGCCTGTCCTACACCCTCCTCATCTTCCTCCTCCTCTCCTTTCTTTGTTCTCTGCTTTTCATCGGTCGACCCATGAGGGTGACCTGTCTCCTTCGACAGACTGCTTTTGGGATCATCTTCTCAGTGGCTGTTTCTTGTATGTTGGCTAAAACCCTCACCGTGGTTCTTGCTTTCATGGCCACCAAGCCAGGGTCAAGGATGAGGACATGGGTTGGGAAAACATTAGCCCTTTCCATTGTTCTCTCCTGTTCCTTTCTTCAAAGTACTCTTTGTGCTGTGTGGCTGGCAACCTCCCCTCCCTTTCCAGATGCTGACATGCTCTCCATTTATAGTGAAATAATTCTGGAATGTAATGAAGGGTCAGTTGCAATGTTTTACTCTGTTTTAGGTTTTATGGGCTTTTTGGCGTTCATCAGTTTTATCGCAGCTTTCCTAGCCAGGAAGCTACCAGATACTTTCCAGGAAACCAAATCCATCACGTTCAGCATGCTGGTCTTTTGCAGTGTCTGGTTGTCCTTTGTTCCCGCCTACATGAGCAGCAAAGGAAAATACATGGTGGCTGCGGAGATCTTTGCCATCTTGGCCTCTAGTGCTGGGCTCCTGGGTTGTGTCTTTTTCCCCAAATGCTACATCATCATGGTGAGGCCTGATCTGAACAAAAAGGAGTATCTAATAAAAAGAATACACTAAATAAGATTGTCTTTGCCTTCTTCAGAGTTAGAACTCCATCTGGCTTGTGGTAGCAAATTTTAGAAGTATCTTAAATAGCCCATAATCAGTATGCAATGCCTTTGCAGTGTCTTTTCACAGAATGATTGATACTAAAAAGGTATAATTGATGTTTGTATTCCTGAACTCAAAGCAGCCGGAAGTGTTCTTTGAGTCTGGTTGTAGAGATTCTCTACAATTTTGTAGCTTTGTAGAAATTCTTTACAAACAATACCGGTAGATGATGCATCATTAAAAAGCTAAACAGAGCTTCTCTAGATGAGCACCACAAGCTATTAGGCTCACAGAAAAGAGATCGGGATGGGCTTAGATAGGAAATAGAGTTCTATAAAATTGTATAGAACAGAGATTTTTTTTTTTTTTTTTTTTGGTGCCTTCAAATCAGTTTTGACTCCTGGACTAGTCCCTGCAGTTTTCTTGGCAAGATTTTGGAAGTGGTTTGCCATTGCCTCCTTCCTAGGGCTGAGAGAGAGAGACTGGCCCAAGGTCACCTAGCTGGTTTCGTGCCTAAGGTGGGACTGGAACTCATGGTCTCCCGGTTACTAGTCTGGTGCCTTAACCACTACACCAAAGGGGCTCTCTCTGCGTACTTCACTCCGCTTCTAATGTAGCACTTCATTTAGAAATTGGGATGATCCACCTGAAATTTAGGGCCCACACATGATGGTTCTCAAAGTTTATTTTTCTAGCAATTTCCTGATTGCCATGATCCTTCATTTTTTCCCGTCTTTCTGGAAAGCCAAAATCCAGAATAATTGACAACAGTGTGGCTTCTCATGTAAAGGAACTTTGGGCTGTGGAGCTATCAAGAGCTAGAAACACAATCTAGCAATGGGGATTTGACATAGTTCTCCAGGTACAGCAAGCCAAATTAGGCAACCAAATTTAGGTAGGAGATGAACCGGAAACCCTTTATGCCAGCAAATTTCCAAATCAACATTACCTGCCCAGTGCATTGTAGAACTTTCCTACTTTCCTAGTATTGGAGAGAATGTGTAACCCTCGTTTGAAGAACGAACCAACTCCTGTCTCCTGACACTCTAGGGTGTATCTGCCTTCCCTGTCCTTTCTACAGCAGCTTCCAACCTGTCCTAAGAAATGTGGGTTGATTATACAAGCTTCACCAGTTCTGTGGAAGATCTTATTTGCTTTTCACAATCAGACCAGAACCCTAACATTTCCAGGAGGTCATAACATTAATTTCAGTGACCATTTCTTAGGCAGAAAATTACTGTCCTGATTTAAAGATCTCACATATATGCAAAATTTTGTATGCCTTCTATGCTGTTTTATTTTTTTTTGTTTTGTTTTCTGTTATAGAGTAATTTGTCACCAATATCTATCATCTATATAAGCACGTAATATTTTAATAACTCAGCATATTTTCATTTCAATGTTTTATTCAAAAAGTACTTTTAAAAGTTAGTCAATTAATTTTGTAATAACTTTATTAAGTTTTTAAGCAAGAAAGATAAAAACTAACAAACTAATATTTAAAATAAGGAAAAGAGAAATGGTAAAGAAAGAGCAAAAAACCCAAAAGTGCAGAAAAAGAAAAGAGCAATATTAAGAAACAACTTCTGGTTTTCTTTTATAACACTTATCGGTACAAATTTAAATTAAACTCTTACTCTATGGTAATTGAGTAACTTTTATTTTTTCTATCATCTACTATTTTTGCAAATCATCAAACCCATATATCATAATTTCATTTTTTTCTCTTTCATGCAAAAAGTCTAAGAGGGTTTTACAATCCCTTAATCAGGGTCTTTTCTCTAATCAAGACTGTCAATTTAGCCATCTTAGCCAACTCCATCATCTTCACCATCCACTCTTCCATTGTGGGTCATGTCAAAATTTTCCATGGTTGTGCATATCAAAGCCTTGTGCTGTCTATCATATATAAAAACAAAGTTCCATGAGTTTCTCCCAACTTTTTTTCCCATGACTCCCAACATCTCTGGTTCCAGTTGTATATTAATCTAAAATCTTCTGAATTAAAGTATGTATTAGACCCAACGTTTTTTAGTTTTTTACATGCCAATATAACTTATTCAATTAATTTTGTATGCAGCTGTTTTGTTAGTTTAATTTTAGTATTTAAATTATTCAGTAATCTGAACCATTTCATTTACTTTTATCTATTTTCAGAAAATATTTTCACATTTTAATTTAGGTACTGTAACTTCCTATAAGCATGGTATATAATGATTTTTAGTAAGTATTATCAAGATATAATGTTAACCTCTAAAATTATTAATTTTAATACCAAATAAGTGTATTATGTATCAGAGGTTTATCTGATTCAAAATGTTACATAAATATAGCCAATAACAACAAACTCCACTGCATAATTTTTATATCTTTGGCTGGTACACTGGACTTATTTCAAGAACCATGAAAATGGATTAAATTAAATAATGGACCTTAAAGTACCTCTCAGAATTGTTGCCTCAGGAGATTCTCTTCACAATGCTAATCCCATGTTGGAGAAAGACAAAAGATTGCTTAAATAATTCCCTTTATTAGATGCTCCCTTTTGTTCAGGTCAGGCCTCACCATGATGATGTAGCATTTGGGGAAAAAGACACAAGCCAGAAGCCCCGCACTGGAGGTCAAGATGGAGAAGATCTCCACAGCCACCATGTATTTGCCCTTGGTGCTCATGTAGGCAGGGACAAAGGGCAACCACACACTGCAAAACACCAGCATGCTGAAGGTAATAGACTTGGGTTCCTGGAAAGTGTCTGGTAGCTTCCTAGCTAAGAAAGCTACAATAAAACTGACAATAGCCAGGAAGCCCATAAAAGACAAGACACTATAAAACATGACAACTGACCCTTCATTGCATTCCATAACGATTTCAGAGATGAAGGAGTTCATGTCAAAGTCTGGGAAAGGGGGTGACCTTGCCAGCCACACAGTACAAAGAAGAGTTTGAATAAGGGAACAGGAAAGTACAATGGAAAAGGCCAGTCTTTTCCCCAGCCATGTCCTCGACTAAGATCCTGGCTTGGTGGCCATGAAAGCAAGAACCACAGTGATGGTTTTAGCCAATATACTATGCATAACCCCTAAACTCCCAGGCCTCTGGTAGGGGACCCGAGATTGAGGTAGACACCTACCACCCATAAGAGTGAGAGGGGAACTGTATATATAATTTATATAAATCCATGTCTATTTTTTTATATTTTATCTCTCTGGTTAGAGAAGAGGAATAGTTCCCTTTCTCCCTTCCCCATGGAATCAAACAAAACAATTCAAGATTTCTTTTATTACTTTCAGGATTATCAATAGTTATCTTCTTTTAATTATCTGTAAGTGCTTCTTAGAGAGCCAGTTTGGTTTAGTGGTGAAGGCACCAGGCTAGAAACAAGGAGACAGTGAGTTCTACTCCTGCCTTGGGCATGTAGCTAGCTACAGTAGATGACTTTGGGCCAGGCACTCTCTGTCAGCCTTAATAAGAAGGGAAGGGCAAACCCCTTTTCAAAAGCCTGGCCAAGAAAACTGCAGGGACTTGCCAGGAAGTCAAAAACTGACTTGAAGGCAACATCAACAACAAAAAGTCCTTGTCCCTTCAAGGCCCTACGTCCAGCAGATGACAGTGTGTTCTGCCTTTAGCTCCTGTAGTGAGCCAGCTCTACGAATACCAGGGCTTAAAGAAGGGCACAATAGTAATTTCTTTTAAGCATTATTGAGAAGAAATATATGACCTTAAGCATAAAAAGAGCCAGAAAAAGGAAAATAGTTTCCCCCCTTATGTCAGGGCTCCTGTGCCTAGCTTAGGGGCTTCACCATCATTAACCCAAAGAAATGAGATCTGAGAAACCCAACAGTTTCTTTAAACTCTTCATTTTTAAGGGCGTCCTGAGCTCTATTTTGTGCAATCCATTTCCTCATGATGCCTCATGTGTGCAAACTACCTTCTGAAAATCCCCAGGTCTCCTAATCTATGCTGAAAACTGATAGGTCTTCCTACGTTTGTCCTTGAATAGAAACCTCAAACTTCTTTACTCTTAACTGCTCTAGAGCTGTGTTCACCCACTTAACATGGCTAAATGAATTAAACCATTATCTGATTAGATAAGGACCTGGGGACATGTCTGTTATATAAGGACAAGACAATAACAAAGGGAATTTGAATCAAAGAACACACCAAGCTCCCAAATAATGAAATTTAACAGGAAACAACCTTACTATCTCGTGAGACTGCAGCTGCTAGATCTACAATTGATTTAGATTGTTGTGTAAATAAAGACACTGAGTGCCTTCAAAATCACCATGCAAAATTTCTTCCCCCTTGTGCCTGTTCCCTTGTGTTATTTCAAGCATCATGAAAATGGATTTTCTGATCTTTGAAGAACCTCTCAAAGCTGCTATCTCAAAAGAGCCACCTCACAATGTTGTTGACAAAGACAATGCAAAGGCAAGACTGCTTAAATAATTCTCTTTATTAGATGCTCCCTTTTGTTCAGGTCAGGCCTCACCATGATGATGTAGCATTTGGGGAAAAAGACACAAGCC